TGACTCTTTCATTCTACTCTCTGATAAAAGTTGTGATTTTGCAATATTTCCTGACATGTGTAATTCCCCTTCCCTCATTCCAGTAATGTTGCAAAATGTTATAAACCACCCAGAAATTGATCAGCCTATCAGATAACCACCTATTATCTAAAGTCCTGTGCCATACACTAAGTGAATGATGCTGCATGCCATTTTTTTCCAGTTAGCAATTTCAGGGCCTCCCTCATGATAAAAATGTCAAGTATTTCACCTCTTGAACCAAATGGAAGCAATTGTTAAACAATGAGAGCCATCCAATGAGCCTCAATTGGCTGATTAGGGAGGGCAGAAATTTTAAATTACACCCACCCACTAAAAAAAAAAAGTTTTGGAAACCAACTGAAAACAGTGATAGTTGCTTTTGTTTATGTGCTGAGCTTGAATTTCACCTCTTGATTTAAACACAGGCTCTCTAGGTTGCAAAGGCTAAGCAACAACATTCGGGTTTTAATGTGTGCTCATTCTTTTTTAAAAATGGGGGACACACAAGATTGCCAATAACCTGGCAAAAAATATCCTGCCCCTTGAATAGAGGTTTAATGGATGTTATTTACCAGGGGATGTTCTGTACCTCCAAGCCATGAAAAGCTTTATCTGTCCATTTCCATATGTTAAGCCTCTGTTAAAGGGGCAAGACATTTTTCTCCAGGCTAAAGTGTCCTCCATAAAGGTATAGGAAGTGTGTCTACTGCTTTAAGACAAGGAAGTAATCCCAGAAGAAAAAAAGAGCCTGCATTCAGAAGCAAAGCTATGGAACTAAGCAATTTATTCAATAACGTTTTGTTTGTGTTTGAAATAGCTGTAAGGTTGCCAGGTCTGAGCCGGAAAATACCTGGAGATTTTGAGGGTGGATCCAGGAGAGGGCGGGGTTTGGGGAGGGGAGGGGCCTCAGCATGGTACAATTCCATAGAGTCCACTCTCCAAAGAAGCCATTTTCTCCAGGGGCGCCAATCTCTGTCACCTGAAGATCAGTTGTAAAAGCAGGAGATCCCCAGGCCTCGCCTGGAGGCTGGCAACCCTAAATAGCTGAGGATGGCAGCCTCTTGTCAGAGTCTTTCTTGTCTATAGATTAGGGATGTGCACCTAAAAAAAGGGTATTTTTTGGATCTGGGTATCAGAGAGCCAAAAAACATCAGTATCTTGGGGAGGTTCCCTCAGTTTTCAGGGCATTAGCCCACTGCCAGACAGCTGGCCAGTGGGGGAAACCCCTCCACCAAACAGCCATGATCCCAACGCAGTGATGTCACCCAGAAATGACATCATCACATTGGGGATGTCATTCAGGAGAGACGCTCTGGTTTGCGGGCAAAACTCTACGGTAAATTTGGCCTAGGACCATAGAATTTTGCCCTCAAACCAGAGTGTCGCTGCTACTACTTCCAGGTGATGTCATTGCATTGGGGACATCCCAGAACACCTCACAAATCTCTCCACCAGCATGGCGAGGGGACCTAGCAACCCTAGTCATTTAGGTTCCAAATACTGGTTTGGTATTTGGATCCAGGGTTTTTAAGAGATTCTGATATTATTCAGCTCCAGTGAGGTATTGATGTCATTGCATTGGGGACATCCCAGAACACCCCACAAATCTCTCCACCAGCATGGCGAGGGGACCTAGCAACCCTAGTCATTTAGGTTCCAAATACTGGTTTGGTATTTGGATCCAGGGTTTTTAAGAGATTCTGATATTATTCAGCTCCAGTGAGGGGTTTTTTTGGATGTATACCAGATATATCCAAATGCACATCCCTATTATAGACTTTCTGTATGCAAGGCAATAGAAAAAATAGTGCCCCATGTGATTGATGAAGAAGGGTCTTCAGAGAGAGAAACCAAGGCAATGGATATTCCTATGCTAGGGTTCTCAACCTCCAGGTGGAGTCTAGAGACCTCCCAGAATTACAACGGATCTCCATACTACAGAGACCAGTTCCCCTGGAGAAAATGGCTGCTTTGGAGGGTGGACTATAAGGCATTTTACCCTGCAAAAGTCCCTCTCCTCCCCAAACCCTCCCCTCCCTAGGCACCACTCCCAAATTTCCAGGAATTTCCTAAATCAGAGTGGGCAACCAGAATGCATGCCACCAGACCAAACTCTTTTATTTCCCTTGGTCCAGGGCAGGGGCTAGTGTGCCTCCAGTCTCAGTCTCCCATACTTCTTGTTCTTTGCATTGTGTCTTGACTGTCCTGCATACTTCTGCCACCTCACTGTTGCCATGGCTTGAATCTGGAACCTTCTGCATGCAAAGCAAGGGCTCTACTACTGAGCTATCATCTTTTGCCTGATGAAAACTGTTCAAGAGTTCCAGACTTGGGTAAATTTGTGGGCACTGGGCACTACTGGAATTTTGAAGACAAGAAGCCGGCACAACCACAAAATAGTTGCCATGGGGGGCTGGGACTAATCACAAGATATTGGGAGTTTCTGAGCCAAGCCTCCGGAAGCAGACATTTCTAAATGTTTGCCTCTTGTAGATGAAGGCAATGCCTCCTGGACTCTTCTGTTCCAGTGAGATGGAGGAAAGACAGGAATGGCTCTTTGCTTTAAAGGTAAAGGTTCCCTTGCTTGAAAGCCAGTCGAATCTGACTCTAGGGTTGCGGTGCTCATCTCCGTTTCAAAGCCGAAGAGCCAGCACTGTCCGAAGACATTTCCGTGGTCATGTGGCCGGCATGACTAGACACCAAGGCACACAGAACGCTGTTACCTTCCCACCGAAGTGGTACCTATTTATCTACTTGCAATTTCTTGCTGTCGAACTGCTAGGTTGGCAGGAGCTGGAACTAGAGACAGGAGCTCACTCCATCATGCGGCACCCGGGGCTCGAACTGCTGAACTACTGACCTTCCACAGCCTGCAGTTCAGCGTCTTAACCAATATTCTGAGGAAAGAGGAAGTGAGCTGCAGGAAATGCATCAGCAGGCACCATGCTGGGGGATCACTGCAGTAGTTCAACTGATATTGCCATCCTCAGTCAGTCAGGAACACCACTCATGAACACTTGCCTCCTCTGGGAAGTGGAATACGCTTCTTTAGAGAGGCCCAATTGACACTCTGTGAAGCACTGATCTTGCTATCTCATCATTAACACTGTCCTCTGCCATCCACTGATGTGACAGTATTGTGGATATAGAAGAATATTTCTGCAACAACAACGGAAGGACCAAAACACCAATGTATTCAGATGAAATATCAAACATTTAGTCTTAAATGGAATGGAATTACTCCTTTCATCTCACTAAAGGTCCTATTTCTCAGCCACCCCTTATTTGCAGTCTTGGTACCTCCCTCGGTTAGATCCCTGCAGCTGGACAGGCTCCCTGCCTTTAAGCTTTGGAGGCCTGGTGTAACTCTGCCCAAGTGCGCACACACATACAGACGAGAAATTCCACAAGTGAATCATGAGCTCAGTCTCCAGAAAGAATTTAGGATGGGGATTTTCTTTAAGTCTAGGAATGCAACTGCTCCAGCAGCACATATACTCCCCAAGGGACCAGTAGCACAATGCATGTGCACCATGGCTGAAAGAAGAAACGGAGCTCTGAATTTACTTTGTTGCAACCAGCTGCATTTTAATTGGAATCCAACACCGTTCTGTGATGCATCTCTAGGGAGCCACTAGCATGGTCTGGAAAGGCCCCAAATAGGGGGCCGTCAAGCTCACTCTCCTCTGCTAATCCTGCATTTAGCAGGTTTGGTTTGAATGATGGAGGCTTAAAATAGCTCATCAGCCATAGGGGTATCCAGTGTCATTGTGTCTGCATTTCATGTGCAGCCAGCAGCACATATAGCTCCACCATAATAAAAATACTGAGTTTTGTGCTCTTTGTTGCTTCCTGAAATCTGAGCTTTCTTTCTCAGCACAACGTAATATTACGATGTGATCAGTGAAGCTTCACATAACAGCATAACAACAGAAATCTTAATTTCACCTCCCCACCCCACATACAGCCACATAGCAAAAAAGGTAGCCCCATCCAGTTGATAAAATTATATTTCATAATAAATGGGAACTGCACACGTGTTGCAATGAAAATGTGGCTTTGAGATAATATAAAACTTGTCTCTGTGGCGTTGCATCCGTGATGTCCATGCAAATCACCATTTGGTGTTACAATCCTGAAGTGAGGACTGCACATGCACAGAAGAGCCAGGACAAAGTGACTGGCTGGCCTTTATTTCAGACATTTATATTTTGCTTTTTCCCAGCAGAAACCCAAAGCACTAACATCATTCTCCTCTCCTCCATTTTATCCTCACAACAATCCTGTGAGGTAGGTTAGGCTGAGTTGTTATAGCTTTTTTTTAAAGGAGGAAAGTTGAGGTTCTTTTTTTTTAAAAAAACCTGGCTGTCAGCTCACAACGGCGCTTCAGTTCACCCCATGTAGATTGGATTGATCTGATGTCTTCCCTGCCACTCACAAGGGGAAATTAATGCTTCAGCGACCAGATTTCCCCTCCCCCTTCGTCTTTCATGAACGAAATACCTCTCCCGCTCAGACTCCACGGCTGTTTTACACATCTGCACGCTCACCATCTGGCACTTACAGACGTTACAGTGCATGACAAAACAGGAGTCCAGCAGCTCCTTAAAGGCTAACAAAATTTATTCCAGAATCAGTTTTCATGAGTCAGAGTTCATTCATCAGAAGACTGCACGCATCGCATCTTCTCTGCCCATACACTCCCTGCAATAAAGCACACGCTGAACACTTGCTCTCCCGTCCCTACCCACACCCATGCAAAGCATGCAAAAGCGACAGTCGATACGGTACACTAGCAACAACGAGCGCGCCTTTGTGCAGGAGTCGCCGCGCTCGCTATACACACACACACACACACGCATCCGCGCCCCCTTTGTCTGGCGACACTGATTAGCTTGTCGGAGGACACCTTGCCGTGCCACTCCGCCCTCCCCTTTAAGATCCGGCTCCGCCTCCCCTTTAAGCCGGCTGGGCTGAAAACAGTGTCGCTCTCGCGTTCCCCTTGTGTCTGATTGTCTCGCGCTGCTGCGGCGGCGGCCGTTGTTGCGGTCTCGGCCGAGCCCCGCGAACGAGGGCAGAAACGAGGCTGTCGCTACCGCACCTCCTGTCGCGAGGCGGGCACCATGGCAGGGGTTCCGCCCGGCTCTGCTTCTCGGCCGTTCTCGCCGCTGCTCCGGCTGCTAGCCATGGGGCTGGTGCTTGGGGGCCACCGAGGGGCCCAAGGTGAGTGGGGCGCAGTCTTGGAGCAGGACCTTATCCAACATGGCGGCGGCTGCTTCAATTTGGGGAGGGGCCTGGAATATTGGGGCGATCTCTTAGAGGGGCATTCGGGAGCCCTTCCTTAGCCGCGGGTAGGGTGGGGTGGGGGCTGTAGGAAGGTGGCTGGGAAACTGGAGTCGACTCCTCCGCCAGCTTATGGGGGCTTGCATGTCACTCTGTCTCCCCCGGGCGCTTCCCTCAGTGGGGCTCCTGCTCTTTGGAAACTGAAGGAAGGACCCCCCCCCCTTATCCTTCAGGAACGCCACTCAGGGGCTGAGGGCTCCTACCTGGGGAAGTGCCATGGGGGGGGGGGGAGTGTTGGAGAAGTCACGTTGGCACGTACAAGGTTTGTGTGTATCTTAGTTGAGAGGTGCATGCAGGGAATGGGGAAGGTATGGCGGATGCGTGATTGGGGTGGGGAGCCTAAGAGAATTGCCTCTGACAAAGTATATGTTTTAGATGGAATGGCCTTCATAACGTAGGGGAGGTGGTGACAAGCCGTGGAGCAATGGGAACAAAGGGTGATAATGAAGGATTAGGAGGCCGTGTCTCAGATCTTCCTATGAAAGGAGAGGACGGATGCTCTTCTGTGGTGTGTTCTCTGTGATGTATTTCGGGGGAGGGGGCGCACTGTCTGTAGGGCTGGCTTCTTGTAAGAATGACTGCAAATTGGAGTTCGTTCTTAAATAATGATCAACAAAAGCTCGTTTTAATCAATAACATTATCAGTCATGTCCATAAAAGCGTAAACCATTTTAAAAAGGCAAATGATACTGGGGTTTTAACCTTTTTAACTGGCTGTCAGCCCAGAATGGAGTTTCAGTTCACCCCATGTAACCTGGCTTCTGGGACTGATATGATGCTTCATTTCACTGTAAAATTCTGTCAGACCTGATGACACAAGATCCCTCTTGACATCGCAACAAAGATGTAATCACATAAGGAGCCAGTCAGAAATCAGTTCCTTATTTGCAGAAGTGTGTGTGTGTGTTTAAAAAGTGAGCCATTTTTGTTTAGATCAAACTGTACATTTACAAAAGTTCAGGTGGGGCTAGCCATCCTATTGCAAGAGATGGTCTTTCTTGGATTATAAGATAAGTACTGTGTGATGAAACTCACACAAGGTTTATTCAAGAACAATGTCTGGTCAGAACTTGACCATGGAAGGACAGTGCCTTGGAATCTGGAATTGAATTCATCCCAAGTTTCATTTTTGCCATATGGTGAACGGATTGTCTGAGTGGTTCACTTTGTGTTCAGACCACCAGCAAGCCTGAGACGAATTAAGACACTTCTCATTATGGATGTTCCTGGTGACTTGGGTGTGTGGCAAATTATACAGCTTAATACATAGCGAAAGTCAGTCTAAATTTCACCCCAGCTGAAAGCTCTACCAAGGAGACTGATCTGTTTAGGATTTTTATCATGAATAAGGCATCAGGAGTAAATTTACTTCAGCCTTGAGGATGCAGAATTAGGAATGGCATTGTCGAGAAGAATTTGCTTATTGATTCTCACCTGATGAGTAGGGGCATAAGATATGTGATGGAGTACTGGGTGCTATAAAGGTAATATATAATAGCTTGCTGTAGGATTTGTCAGAGCTTGAAAGAAGACCTCACTGTACTCCTGTACTCCTATGAAGGCTGTGTGCTTAATTTGTTGCAGTATTTATCAATTGCCTTGGTTTCTGAAGGCTCATAACCATTGGAAACAGCTATTGAGAGATTTTGTTATTGGGGCATTTCATGTAAATGACTATTATTTTAATATTTTAATTAAAAAAATTAAAGTCAGCTACTCTTGAAACTTTTTCCTTTAAAAGATCAACACATCACTGCCTTGTGTAGGTTAAGACTAGCAGTTCTAGAATGGTTTCCATTACTAGGACTATTGTACCTTTTAAAAGAATGAGCACAAAATCTTTCAGTCCAATCTTTAAAACTGTGTGGAAGTAAGTTCCACCAATCTCTATAGGACTTACTTTCTAATTAGGGTTTCGCCCTAGGGCTCATATTGTTAGCGTATTTACATATGGTTGCCCCTTACATCCTGATTAAATTTATGTAAGGTTGGGCTTCTCATTAATTTTATTAGGTAGCAAGAATTCTAAATGTGGAAAAAATCAGAAGTTATGTTCACATAAAAAAGAGTGTATGCTTGAATGTGGAGGAGACTAAGACAAGATTCTGTAAGTAACAATGTAGGTTCTAGGGTGGTAGTAATCTCTGATGACTGTGAGAAAAAACTATGTTGATGTGATCTTTTGACCTCCATTTCTTCTGTGATGGGCAGCAAAGATGCCCATAGCTGGCAGTTTCTTGTCTAAGTGTCTTTCCGATGAAGACTAAAATAATCCTCAAAACCAATTAGTTTTTGCAGCTTTGGGTTGTTAAATAAAGCTTGCAACTGCCAACATTCCAGGGCAGTGGTCAAAAGTTGTGTTAGATGTTCTAATGGACTTTTCCAGCTAATTAAATGTGAAGTTTTTTAGGAGTTAAGCAGTTGTATACGTGGAGCCCGTCCAGGACTGAACCTGTCCATCATTGTCATGCTTCTAACTGCTCTGGAAAGTTCATATGATTTCCTTAATTTTAGGGAGCTGTTCAGAAAATAAACAGGAACTGGGAAATTGACTTCCTTACTGTTTGATGTTTTGTTTCAGTAGAGGGCCTCTGTTTCCTACAAATGCTGTGTGTATATTTTGACTAACAGTATTCCTTGGTAAGGTGCGCATGCAGCACGGAGAAACGTGTGGATACGTGAAAGCCTTTTAACAAGAGGAACAATAAGCGGGAAGGACTGTGTGAAGCCTAATCATTTTATTGTCTTCAGCAGACCATAACGTTCTGTTACTGATAGTTTCTTAGAACAAGGTTTTATTCAATCCAGATTAGCTCTGAATAGAACATAATTTATACTTCATGACTTTTCCAAGAAGGATATCACTGAAATGGGAATTGAATGCACTGTCCAAAAAAAGTTTTGAACTCTGTTGTAAACATCTTGGCTAGATGGAGGAGGTTCTTCCCCTTCCCTCCCCACTCTTAGCAATTGGGCTGAATGTCCAATTGTAACAGCACTGGGGAAATCGCTCTTGCTCTTGCAAAAGACTTCTAGTAAAACATAAATCCCATGATAAGCGTAAGCAGACTGAGTTCGCAGGGTGTCAGTGAGTGAGAAGATTTCTTCTTTCATAGGTTTGTTTTCTATGGTTTTCTGCTGTTCTGTTCCAACAGAGCAAGCAACAGTGAGGGAATTCTCAAAGGCAAGTTGCATTTAATAGTAAGGCAGTGTAATGTAAGCCAAAGTAAGTAGAATGTTGGCAGCCTGGGCTGTGGCTACCTCCATGCGTATTGGCTAGAACTTGAAAGCAGAATAAAGCCATAAATTTGATATATTTATCAAATTGAAGTTGAACTTTAAAGGTACATAATTTTTTGGAAGAAGAGGGCATATGTCATAATTTGAATAGATTATGGTAAAATGACTGGAAATCAAAATGAGCGGAACTTGACTCTGTTCCTAACCTGCTATCCATTGCAGTGCCAATCTCTCCACTGCATTGTGAGTAAAATATTCTCCTCACAATCTTATGTTTGCTACTTAGTTTAGGTACCCTTGATTTATCCTTTAAAACAGAAATCCGGATGTTTTGGTTTGGTTTTTTACCTACTGTAGGACAATCAAGAACAGAGGAAGGGAGAATGTGGATGGAATTGTTTAATTGTTTTTGCCAGCTAATTATCCTTTCAAAACTGCTTCTGCTGAAATACTTTTCCCCACCACCATCACAGGGATGCTCCCCCTTCATTCCTGGTTTCAGTATCTAGTAGCTGTGTTTCATCTTTTTAAAAAAGTTTTTTTAAGTAATGTGGAACTTACATAACATGTTGTTAGACCCTGAGACATTGCAAGAAAAATGGGTTTTATCCCAGCATTGTGATTTTAAAAAAAAAACTTTTATGTGCATGGAGTTAGAAAGAAAAAAATAATGTTATTCTGATAATTGGAAGTGAATAAGAAAGGTTAGGAATTGGAATGTGATGATGGTACTTAACATATGAGACAAGGACTTGGATCCAACACAGTCTTTCCACATACAGAATGATTCCTGCTCACAGACTGGGACTTTTCTCCTCTTCTCCTTCCTGCTGCAACAAAACCTCCCCTCCCCAATTCTGTCCCTGTGGGTCCCCAGCAAGCCATGCATGGAATAAATCTTGTAAGAGTTCAAGAGCCCCTGTAGAGCTTGAATGGCTTGCCATGTTTGATTTGACAGTCAAAACATGTATTTGGTCAAATAATAGTGTTGGAAGGGCCATCTAGTCCAAACCCCTGCACAATGCAGGAAATTCGACTAATCAAAATATAAACAATTACAATGAAATACTATATAACAAATATGCCAATGGATCTGCTTTCAGATATAGCAAATGGCTGGTAGGAAATAAATTGTACAGCAGGTTTTGGTTTGTTCTTCATTGCACAGTAGCTTCTGCAGCCCCCAAGGGCCTATTGGAAATAAGAGGAAGGCTGAGAGAATGAAGGGTCTATGGAGAAGGCTGCAGAGCAAGGGATACCTGCTCTTAGAAGCAATGTGTGTTTCTACGTATACCCAGGCTCCTGGAGGACTCAAGGCAAGGAGCCCTTCTTTTTCAGATGGCATCAAGATATAGTAATGAGGTACTAAGAAATGAATAGCTAGTTCTTGGCTTCATAATAAATTGATTGGCAAAGCATCTTAATCAGGTGCATACACAGGATATGGTCTGAAAATAATTAAACATTTCACTTACTGTAAACTCCCACAGGCTCTGTTATAAGGTCGTACTGTCAAACAAATCAGTGTAAATCCAACTGAAAATGTTCTTAAAGTTACATTGTAGTCTTCAGAGGCTTGTGGTCAGCCCCTCTGATAGAATGTTAGAAAAAGCTCTCCAATTCTGCAAAATGGCTACCAT